TATAACAATATTACTCCTTTTTTACCTTGATAGAGCACTGGAGATAAGAAAGATGAGAAACAAGCGAGACTGTTATTTAACCTATTAGTCACATATGCACTTAAATAAAGTAACAAGGCACTAATTTAAATCAAGCATAAATCTTACTATACCTTGCTTGTCATAATCGTCAGTCTCCACTTCAATACTGACTGAAACAGAAACAATTCCAGTTGTTAAAATGAAAAAAAAAATCTGTTTTGAGCAGAATGTCTGTGAAATGAAACATTTCTTTTTATTTTTATATTACTGTAATTTCCATTTTTGTTATCATTGTGTGGCAACACTCTTTTCCAGAGCAGCACCAACTTTTCTAAAGAACTTTATATATAATTTTAACAGTTAAATTACCCAAAAGAATACAGTCTTTGTTTTATGCTTTAGGTGCTAATGAAAAGCAAAACAGAGCAATGAAGCGGGTGAAAACAGAAAAACAAATACATTTGATCTACGGTTACTGTCTTAGAATTGCATTTCTTATATCAAAGCGACAACTGACGGAATATCTGGTAACAGAGTAGTAGGCTATACAGTGAATTATTATGTTTCTAAAAATTATGTTTCCAGGCAATTCCTTGGAATTACTTGGATCCTGAGCAAACATTATAGGGGGTTATAACTGCAAATGGAGCTCATCGTGTGTTTAGTAACCTTCCAAAATCATGTTAACTTAACCACACAAACTTTGAATTGTTTCACTAAGGTTCTTTACCCGGCAGTAATTAAAATGTCTCTTACCATCCCATACAGATTATCTCACATTTCCCACTAGTATAAGTAAGTATAAGTATTTCCACAAAGTCTAGCTAAAGACCCAGAAACTCAACGAGTTAATAGGGGAGCCTGTTAAATCATTTATTGGTTTTTGCAGACCCTGTGTCACGTCTTTTGTGTTACCCAATCTGCTTTGATACATGCACCATTACATGGAGAGTGATGTTTTACAAAGACCACAAAAGAGCCCTTAATGAAGTACCTGCTATCGATAGTAATTGCTGGAGGGCACACATGGGTCAGGGGCTATCGAGCCCAGGGCGACTCACGCAGCTCTTTTCAACAATACTTAGTAACAGATAGCGCTACCTCAAAGAACACACCTCAAGCATGCACCTTTCTGTTATCGAGCCCTTCTACAAGCGGGAGGGACACGATTACACAACTGATAATTTATCACCGTTTATGCAAGAGAGAATTCCGTAAGGCGAGGGTTAAGCGATATGTATATTTTGCAATCTTCCCATGTTCGTTTCTCTGCCATTTAAGAAATAATGGCATAAAGTTATTTCCGTTAATTGTATGCCGACAGTAAATTGTTTCCTTTAAATTTAAGTGCGATGTGGTCAAGTAGGAATAAGTGTCAATTAAGAGGATTTGCGCAAACATGCAAACGAAGCACCGACAACACGCCAACGCACTGTTCAAACGGCAAAAATGATGAGATGCTGAACCCTCAAAAAGCTTCTAAACAATGGCAAGCATTTAACTGTCGGCACTAAGTGCACGTCACCGCTGATTGCAGGTCAAAACTCCTGTACATCAGTGCCTGTTCATTGTTTTACCATATACGGCAATACTTTTACAAAAGCCGAAATATGTCAAGTGACCACGAGGCAGATATCACTCCCTCGCAAAATCAAACAACATTAACAATCCATAAACTAGCCCACTTTGCAGACGAAACACATGGAAAATAAAATTGTGTATGTTACAGTTTCAAATATATAAAAATAATACTAAAGACAAAGATCATAATGAAAAAACAAAACAGCACAATAATGCACAAAATACAGGCCTACGTGAGAGTCCATTACACATTAATTAATGTAGCGTTTATTACATTCCTAATACAATCAATTGCCTGAACATCACATATGTACCCATACTTTTTAAACATAATACGTTACCATCACTTTCAGCAGCAATAAGTTTCCGACGTGGCATCTGAAGACCCACAGCTGAACCTGGCTGAACACAGTGTGCCGTAATATGGGGAGAGGGAAGAGTTTAGGATGGACAAAAAGAAGCACCTTACCGGCTCTGTTCACTTTCACCTGCCCAAAAAAAAATGGACAAAGCAAAGTGAAACAAGACACTCAGTTTCACTACCTTTCAATTATTCATGGTTTTGCTTCATTTTTGTTTATTTGTTTGGGGCGATGACTGGGGTTACTACAGAAGCCTGACCAAAGATTATATGATGTTTAGAGTCAAAGTTACAAGCAGAAGCGATTAAACACATTGAAGTAGCAAGCAATTGGGTAGCAAATTATGTTTATAAATAATTAAATATTGATACAAATAACAGTAGGCAGATGAAATACAAACATTTATGCATAATGCAAGTCTTGTAGAAGTGTATTTCTTCACAGACAACAAAACCTGGCAGAACATAGTTTGACAATTAAGAGCATCTTTCATGCTGTACAGGACTGAAGAGCTGAGGTTATACCTTTGAGCACTGTGTGCACAGAGGAGCTGAGGTTATATCTTTGAGCACTGTGTGTACAGAGGAGCTGAGGTTATACATTTGAGCACAGTGTGCACAGAGGAGCTGAGGTTATACCTTTGAGCACTGTGTGCAGAGAGGAGCTGAGCGTATACCTTTGAGCACTGTGTGCACAGAGGAGCTGAGCTTATACCTCTGAGCACTGTGTGCACAGAGGAGCTGAGCTTATACCTCTGAGCACTGTGTGCACAGAGGAGCTGAGCTTATACCTCTGAGCACTGTGTGCACAGAGGAGCTGAGCTTATACCTCTG